CGGGACAGCAGTGAGGGTGGGGATGGAGCCCGCTTGTGGGCGGGGCCGGGGCGCAGGGCGGGGCGGGTGTGTGGACGAGGCCCGAGCGCGGAAGGGGCGAGGCGCTCGCCCGCAAGCGACTCTGCCCAGGAGCCCCGGCTCTCGCGAGAGCAGGGCGTCGTGACGCGCGGGCGGGCGGGGCGCGTCGCGGGCGCCGGCGGGCGCGTTTGAATCTGGTCCGAGCGCGGGAAACGGCGAGTCCGGGTGACGAGGTGAGCACCGCGGTGCTGGCCCGCGAAGGGCTCGGGGCAGGGGGCCGAGAAACGGCGGGGGTCGGGCGAGGCGGGTCCCCAGCACCGCAGCCTCTGCGTGGGCCGGATCCGAACACACGGCCTGACTCGGGGTTCTGAGGTAGAGGCGGGCACCCGGGCCCTGGGCGCGCCGACTCCGTGCCTTCCCTCTGGGACTGGCCAGAGAGTACCCGCCGTCCCTGCACCCGAGACTGACCCCAGAGAGGACCCCCAGCCCTGGACCTGGGGACTGACCCCAGAGAGGACCCCCACCCCTGGACTGGGGACTGACCTCAGAGAGGACCCCCGGCCTGGACCTGAGGAGAGGATCTCAGAGAATATCAGTTCCCTGAGCCCTCATGTCCAGGGGGAAGCTGTTGCCAAGCATCTCTCATAGTTCGTGGGAGGGCTGGAACACGGCCTACAGGTGGTGACAAGGTGACAGGGATCTCCTTTTTAATGCTCATCTTAATTCAGTGCCAGACCTCCTGTGTGAAGAGCACCCTGCAGTGGGGACAGATAACTGCCTGGTGAGTGAGATGATCTCTCGCCCTGAAAGTGGCATCTGGCTGGAGGGATGAGGTCTTGTGCACAACTAGTACAAGAAACATATAATGTGCACTCTGAGAGAAAACTAAGTTGAGAAGTTAGTGCCCCTAAAGAGCTGTAATCACTAGTGTGGGAGAGAAAATGGGGAGTATGGTCATATCTTGGTGGTCTAGTGGAAGCGGAGTGCTGTATGAAGACTCAAGTGCCAAGGGGTGCACTTGGAAAGAGAGGCCCCCAGAATTCCAGAAAGGTTCGCAGACTCACCAGTTTAAGATGTTTGGTTCCATGTACTTGATTGCACCTTTTTAGAATGTTTATTTTTAAACTTGTGAATTGGTACTAGCCATTATTAGTCATCCAGCTTGTCGCTGGCCACCCTCCCTGCCGCTTGGCCAGCAGAAAGTTATGCTTCATAGCTCAGCCATCTGAGTTGAGGAATGAGGTGGCCAGACTTCATGGTACTTATGTGGGGAAGTTATTTTCTGCTTTTGTTGGTTTAATTTAGACACTAAGATCTATGTTTCTATGTTTAAGATGACTCTCTATCCCTGTAATTATTGCCGTTGGTACTAGTAATTTTCCATATTGCCCTTTTAAAGCGGTGCAGGAGGTTTTCATTTATTTTTACAGGGAGGGGTCCTGTTGCATATATGTTCCATCATTTTGCCGTGACTTCATCTTTGGGTTGATGTCAAACTGGGGATTGCTAGCACCAGGTGTTGTAAATGGAAAATAGGCTTTATTGGGGGAAACACAGGCAAGGAAGGAGCTTGCACGCAATCCCCTAAGCTCTCAGTCCTCGCACGCGCTAATGAGCTCCCAGGTGACCCCAGTGCCACACTGAATAACAAGGTGACTGTGCCTGGGATTTTCTTGATGGACAAATGGCACTTTAGAAAGGGAGGTTCAGGATTTAGCAGCTGGGATCAGCCTGTTCTTTTGTTGAGCCGACTCAGACCTGCCTGAGCATCTTGCGAAGGTACTAACAAGGGAGAGAAGGTGAGCCTCCTAGAGCCATATAGATTTCTCTTTCCTTAGTTAGTAGCTTCTTTAAGAATTGATAATAACAGGGCTGGCCCGGTGGCTTAGCGGTTAAGTGCGTGCGCTC